TACGGCGTGATCATTGAAATGAAAGCTATTCAGCAGTACTTTAACATGGTACTATTAATTTAGAATGTAGTTCTAACTTTTGAATCTGCTAATGAAATCTTATGGTATGATCATGAACATTCATGAAACCTCTTCAGCAATACTATATTTTGTATGCAGCTCTAATTTTTGGGTCTTTGGATGAAATCCTATGGTGTGACCATTCAAATGAAACCTCTTCAGTAATACTTTCACATGGTCGTACTATATATTTAGTATGCAGCTCTAACTTTTGAATCTGTGAATGAAATCCAATGGCGAGACCATTCAAATGAAATCACGTCAGCAGGACTCTGACATAGTACTATTTATTTAGTTCTAACTTTCGAGTCTGTGGACAAATTAGCATCCCCTACCGGAAAAAATTGTTAGGTTGGTTGAAAGCGGCAAGCGGTAAAAAAGACAGCCGTGTTACCAAATGGTGAGGAAAATGGTCACGTCATCATCTCATGGTGCTTTATTAACACTCTCTCTATTGTGTTTTACTTTTACCTGTTCGTGAAAAAGAACTGTGGCCACAGCAAACGGCATGCAAGACGCAGACATACCTACATCGGCGATGGCTAAGTTCACTAACAAAAGATGAAGCTGAGTCCTCATGGAGCGATTCCAAAACACCACGAGACAAACAGAGATGTTACCTAGGATACCGATTAACGTGGTTATGCCCAGTAGAATTCCAATGATTAGAACAATGCCAGATAGCGGCATTCTTTCCGTTATTTAAAAGTACAGCTGATCCGCCGGACCACCGAAGATAAGTAGCCGAACCAAAAGATCTTTTCAGCTCGATAGATCTTTTCCCCTGCAAAGAACACCAGGAATATATAGAGCGTGTTGACGCCGTCAAATTACGAATTTTGTTACAGCACTTGGACAAATCAAGTTAGTCTTTCCAGGCTTGTTTCATGAAAAGAACTTTTTCTTTTAAATGCCAAATCAAAAATGTAAGCCACTCCTACCGAATCTCTGAATGGTTTGAATTTACCGTCCTGGTTGGAGTGCTAAAGATTGTTCAAGCTTCGGCGATGCGAAGTGATTTTACTTTACTTCGACGCTTGGTAAAATTTTCGTTGGTTGATGATGTATGTGTAGTTACCTCATCCGTTGAATCTTGTTTAAGTACCTTTCTATATGGTTTCTAATCAAGCGGACTTAAACATCATTAAATTTGTTGACCATCTGATCACAATTGCGTGTTGTTAAACTTGTTACCATAAAATTCCTCGACATCGAAGTAGAACCCCCCAATCACCTGCGATCACCCGGTGATATTGACTGGGATCCGCATGAATTTCTTTCACCGTCGCAGTTTTCTTAGTGATATACTTTTCTCCAGGTGTAGTTCATTTTTACTTTCATGTTGGGATAAATTTGATTTTTTGAGAAATTTGTTCCGGCGTCTGGTGATATCGATTGTATGATTGTTTTTTAGTAAGGTGGCATACAACCTGTTGGTACCTGCTTATACTAATTGTCTCTCGGGCTGGTTGTTAGTTTTCACCCGAAGACAAGACAACCTGTAAGATTTTGGTCGGAAAATTTCCAGTTGTGCAAACGCTTTTGCCCAGTTGTCCGTGCTAGAGAGTTCTCGGCGAGTCTCTGTCGATGATGTCACAGATTACGGTAGAGTCCAGGATTGACCGAGCTGAGAACGTCTAGGGACTAGGCTTTGCCAACACGAAATAAATTAAGGAAAAAAATTAACAGGGAATAGAAGGCCCCGGGGCGGAGGGTACTCCCATATATGGACTACAAGGATATGTGCCGCTCAAACGGGTATGCTTTTTACCTCTCTGAATCTAGATTAGGGTCTATAAATCACCCTTTATCTCTGTAAGAGGGATATATTTTACTTCATTTTGATCTGGAGAATTTTTCCCCCCATGATCCCTGATTGTTCTTGATAAAGCTTAGGTTTGGAATTACGTTCTCCTAGTCGTTTTATCAGTAAGCGGGCCACAAGAACAGGATTCCTATCTTTATAAATTTCAGTAATTATTGTCTGGAACAGGGTCGCAATTCATCTGTTTTTGAGCGCAGGAGCGAAACAGGTCTAAACTTAAGTATCAATGACTAGCCGCACACTGCAAGGAGGTGACTAGAAGTAACAGAAAGAGAGACGAATTTCTGGGAAGAATGAGCACTAAAGACTTGGCCGAAATTTGGAACCACGAACAGAAACTGTTGGGAGCAAGGTGATCCATTTTTGAGGAAGCTGCACGTCTACAGAAGCCCGGGTTCGGTTAAGAGAAGCGACGATTTGCAGAATCCGGAGATTCATGGGACTTGCATGTGGCGAAGGACACACTGATAGTGTGGGGTCTATGCAACCAAGGATTTAAAAAAAAAAATTAAACACTGGGCTTTGTTCATTTTGCCCTTTATCCTCGGGGATCACAAAAATGAAAGAAGTGAAGTGAACAGTCACCGATAACCACTTAGCTTGAGGCATAAGTCGAGTTAGGGGAAAGAGGAAAATTACGGGCATTTCAGGGAGACCATTATCCCGAGGGGAGAATCCCATGTAAAAGTGACAGGGATACTCGTTGTCTTCAATCCGACGCTTTAGAACTTGGGTAAATTGAAGGAACAACGTTGAAATGTTTTGCTTGACATCCTTTTCACTCTCTCTTTCAAAGTTGGCCTCAAACCTGGACAAGTCTACAGAAAAAAAACATTTACAAAACAGCATTGGAAGAGAGAAAGACAGACATCAGAGCAGTGTGACCCAAGTTGAGTGTCCTTGATTGTAGCTTAAGAATAGGAATTGCAGATTTTGTTCTCACTTATGTTGTTCAGGACAAAAAGGTGTTGTTTAGCACAGAAATATCTATATATTAAAAGATATAAACGCCATCGTACACAGTGTCGTATTGTGCAGGTGTATGGTCCCCTTTGGAGGTCAAAAAAAGCCTGAACCACACTCAGGTTAGTCTCGTTCAAGGGTTTAATTCTAATTTTCCGACGAGCGTCTTAGTAAATTATTCATAGGGGAGGTCCTCCAGGGCTCATTATCTGCATATAGTGAAACTAGAAACGCCGAAACACTCCGGAACACCCCAAAAATGAAACTAAAGAGAAACCCTTGCCCTATGCAGTAAAATTTTTAAATATATTCCTATTAGTTTGATTTATTTGACTGAAGTTTGCATACGGTGGCAAGGCGTTCTTTGTCCCGGGTTTGCTACATGACTAAGGAACGAAAACGTGATGTCACATGCCAAAAAAGGGAGAGCCTAGTGTACTTTAACTTGTCACAGTACTATTGTCTACTCCGTGCAGTCGGGCGACTGAAATAAATTAAATCTGGAACATTTGGAAATGGTTTCTACTCGAACAGGCTTCATCATCCAAGAGAACCATCAGCTGCCATATGTCATGTGCACCTCATGTAAGATGTGAGGAACGGTTACGGTGCAGCTTAAGCCATCCACGATGTCAAGTTCGATGGAGTTATGTCCTGAGAAAATTAATCAGGTTTTTCTTTCGTTTTCACAATCTTAAACTGCGAAGAATTTTCAGAAAGTGAATCGGATTCTGAAACTGAAGTTTGCCCATTTTTGTTAACTTTAATCAAGCGTTTTAAGTACTGGAATTTAAAATATATTACTACTAGGAAAGCATTTGGCAAATGTTGATTAAACTGATCCTTAGTCCACGTTTAAAGACTCACTCTTTAGTGGCATATAGCAAGGGGCTGCCTTTTCGTTAACCTTCCGTAAATTTTGCCATTCATCTAAATGAACAGGGTATAACTCTCCTGGTGGGATCCTAATGCCACTATCAATTGGAAATTTGTTGATGATGAAATAAACTCTTCCCTCTATTTCCACGGCACCAAGCTTGTTTGGAGGAATTCGGCTTTGATTAATAACGGACCACGTGTTATTTTCTTTGTCATACACTTCTACAGGTGCCGGTTTACCAACTGGTGTGCCACTTTCTAAAACAGAAACACAACCCCCTGCAACGTACAATTTGCCTGATACTACAAAAAGAGTGGATCCAAAGTGAGGTTGACAGGTTGGCGCTTTTTTCTCCCACCTATTCTTCAGTGGATCAAAACAATGTAGCACTGCATTCTGAATCTGCCAGGAGGACTGGACTTTCATTTTATGCCCATAAAGTACATAAAGGTTTGAGTGCATTACTGTTCCTCCACTGTTATAGAAAGAATTGGAAGAATCTTCTTTAATATTTACTTTTGTAAATCTTTGCCATCGACATTCAGCTATGTTATATCTTTCAGGAATCTGGCTGACACTGGACAGGATTGAATACATGTAATCTCCGATACTACAAAGGTTGCTGATCACTTCACTAGAAACAAGCTTAAATTCCCATACATTTCTTTCCACGTCAAAGCATTGAACCCAGCTCCCATCACCAACATACACTTTACAGCCAAACGTCACTGCGTAAGGGTACTTTGTATTAATTTCAGGTGCTACTGGCAAGGTTATCAACGGTTTCCATACTTTAGCTTTAACATCAAAGTACTTCATTTGAATCTTAGAAGTGACAGCAACAAGAACCTAACATGAAATAAATAAATAAATAAATAAAAATTAGCCAGGATAGCTTATGTGACAAAAAAGTAACCTTTAAACGATAGAAAGGCTGCTACTTTTTACTTTTTTTCCCCGTCCTACCCTGCCCCTGGCCCAATGTTGAGCAAATTGGGAATGTTTTTTTTAATTGTTCTGTTATTTTCCAAAATTGAATAGAAGGGGTAGGGGGATATTTAGCAAAAGAGAAAACTCTCTGTTATGGAGAATATAATGGACCACTGTTAATTTGTACACTCTTCCCAATTACTTTTGCCTTAGATTGTAGCCATAGTGTAAATGAGGCATTGAAATGCTACGGGTCGACGACAACACCTTCACATTCCCTACTTTTTGCTTGCAATTGATCATAATACTGCATGCTACATAAGTAAACGGTCACCCATTTCT